TTTTATGGTTTTTATATTTTTAAAGCTGCACTGGGGTGGCATTAATTTCATTGTACAAGTTTTACAATGACAATAAAGATTTCTATCTATCTATTCTATCTATTCTATCTATCTGCAGAATTTAGCAATGAAGTATCAAAAAAAGCTGAAAGAAATATCAAACACAGAAAGCTAGTAACTGCATATATTGGCCTTCATTCCCAACACAATTTCCAAGGGGGAAAACTCATGTCCAGGATTTATAATCCATAATTACAAATAATCAAAATACAAGAAGTCAAGAAAACAAAGTTGTGTATACACTATATGCAGGTCTTCATACAGGACGTTAATTTTTCTTTCTTTCTTTTTTTTTAAGATAAGGTTTGCTCTTGGAAAACTATGTATGGAGCTATTTTCTTTATGTGTTGCAGAATATACAAAAATACACAAAACACCATCCCACTTCTCTACCCAGATCCTTCAGTTTGCTACAGCTAAAATCCTCCCTGGTTAGCACATCTGAAAAGGAAACTGATTCACTACTCACTAATATTCTATTATTTTAACAGCGTCCCCATAATACTCTCATCCAAAGGGAAAAAGGAAAGTATTCCCATAATACTCCCATCAAAAGGGGAAAAAGACAGCAGAATTAAAGAATTGATATGCTTTAAGAATATCCATATACTTGCCCTGTTGGCATTGTAGTACAAAACAACAAGGTATCTGTTGCACACATTGAATCCTGATAGATGATCACAAGCATTTTTGGCATCAAAGATATCTTCATAGACTACATAGGCTGTTCCCCTTGTCTCAGGAGTATTCCCTCTGTAGGATAACAAGTTTAATATCAGCAAAGGACAAATCTGTACCAGTACTCAAATATGACATTTGTCACCAATACAATTTTTTCAGACCCTTCAGTTGAGTCTTAAAATCAGTTAACAACACTGGTTCCAATCCCATATGGATTTAAATGTGTATAAGCCAGGAATGGGCAGCCACTAGGTTCCATACAGCATCCCATTTGCAATTCTCAGACCTCCCCCAGAATTAACAGAGCTGACATTTTCAGACCTTTTTATACTGATCTGGAGGTATTAAGGGGTGAAATGGGTACCTTAAGGTTCTGGCATCCATTTGACCACCTAAACCACTCCTTAACAGGGCAAAAATTTCCTAGATTGGGGCAGCATACAAATGGAATGAAAACTGAAATCATCCACTCTGGTGACATCACAATTTCACTAGCCATATCTCTGTAGCCCTAGGCAGGAGACAAACTTAAAATGTAATCCTAAAGCTAAGCAGATTGCTCACCTCTAATATAAGCCTGTAGAACTTGAATTCATTTTAAACACACATTCAACCGTGCCACACAATAAATCTCAGACACATAATTTCTACCATGTTTCATCACACTGGCTGTGATGTAATTTGTTTGCTTTGGTTTAGGGTGATGTGGGATTAGTTGCAGAGTTGGGAAGTGTCTAACATATCAAAGGACTTTTAAGCAGCTAAGCCAGGCTTAGGAGGTTTCTTGCACTATAACACTATTATAGAAACCACTTTATTAAACTACAATAATGATTTATTTATCATCTAGAAAATTGTTGGGCATAACTAGAGCAAACCTAATTCAAAGTTTAGTTTACTCAAATACACAATAGACTTACACTCTGATTTGTCGAATAGGTCCGTATTTTCCAAAAATGTCATACATTTCTTCAGCTGTGATTTTATATGGTAAATTTCTGATATACAAAATTCGGTTGACTTCAGGTGGTAGACGGATCTAGGTTTAACAAGCATTACCATTAGCAACATAAACACTGATGTAAACATTTGTTTTATTTTCCTATTACAGGTAGTCCTTGCTTAACAACCATTTGTTCAGCAACCATTCGAAATTATGATGGCACTGAAAAAATGGATTTATGCCCCATGCCCAAAGTTACGGCTGCTGCAGCACCCCCACAGTCATGTGATCAAAATTTGGGACTTGGCAGCCTGCCCACAGTTATGACCGTAGGGAGCGCTGCAACTGCCACCCTCATCTATGCCCTTTTGGCTGCCCTGCACAGCAGCACTCAGTGGCAGCAACACCAGGGCTGAAGTAGAAGCCCAGGGACTTCAATAGTCTCAGCCAGCTGCTACCACTCCCCAGGCCTCTACTTCAGCCCCAGCACTGCTGTTGCCACTGAGAAATGCTGCCTGAAGCCCCGCACTGCAGCCAGCCACCCCAGCACCATTGCGCAAAGCCCCAGTTGTCCCCACTGCCCTGCATTCCACAGGCTCTGCCGCGCCCAGCTGACTTTTGCCATTTTCCTACTGCTGCTGAGGCACACCCGGCCTGACCCTACTGTATGTGAGGCAGCTGCTGGCCACGTCAGGCCTTCTTCCCGAGGCCGCTTGTACTGCTTTCCAAGCCACTCATGCCATTCCTTCTCCAAGTTGTGTGCCCCATTCCTTCTCCAAATCATGCATCCCATTCTTGCGATCCTTCAGAAACCTTCTGGTCTTCCCCAGGTCTCACGAGAATGGGTGTGCTACTTGGAAAACAGCAGGAGCCTTGTTCTTGCAGTGATGCAAAAGACTTCATTCTCCAAATCACACACTCCTTTCCTTTTCCATTATTATTATTATCATTATTCCATTGTTTTATTTATACACACACACAATTATTACATTGTGAGCTGCCCAGAATCAGTTTGGAGTCAGGCAGCACCTAAATTGAATTAAGTAAATAAACAAACTACTGCTTTTTGCATTGATAGGACTACAGTAATACATTTGAAGATACTTGATCTACCAGCATCTCATGTAATATGGGTGAAGTCTCCTTAAAAGCCTCAGAGCTTACTCTGGAATAACGGGGGGGGGGGGGGGGGGGAGGGGACAGGATTCTACCATGTGGTAAAGAGAATAGAATGATGGAACTGACCAAAAAGAGAGATTTTGCCAGAATACCCAAACATAATGCATGGATCACAGTACAAGTTAACTCCTTATACTCTTCCGTACACAATAACAGACTCTAAGTAACACAATGAAGTACAACTGTGGCTGGTAACAATGTGTTACACTGAACTCAGTGTGGTTTACAGCTCAGTATTATGTGTAAATTCAGCCATCTGAGTTAATTTCAATAAACCAGCGTCCAGTTAAGATGGCAAGCTGTACAAGCAAAGCTGAGGAGAGCCACACTTTCTCTATTCCCACCCTATCCATGTTCATGTTACTGGTTGCTGCCTAATTCAGCAATTCGGGGAGGGGGGGGCAGACTTCAGCTCCCATGTTCCCCTACCCAAGGGCCATAGTGACTGGAGAGTTATGGGAGCCAATGTCCAGCACACTCGTGGGGCGCAGGTCAGACACTAGGGGCCAGGCAGTCGGTCACCAGGCCGTTCAGCCCACATCCCCACCAAAATGCCTTCCTCAAAGGGACACTCTCCAGAAGGCGGGGATTACAATTCCCATCACACATATGACAGTTGCGGATGTCCGGAATTTTAGCCCAGATGGGCAAGTACGAAATCAGGAGAGCTCCCGCTTCCCGATCACTTTCACGCCTTTCTTTATTTCCCCAAACGACGAAAGCCAAATAGGGGGACGGCACGTCAAGGGAAAGCAGGGCCAGTGTTCAAAATGGCCACCCTGTCCGACTCACATTCGCGCGTTTCGCCGCTTGCATCGCCATGGCAACGGTCCTCGGAGAGTTACGCTTCACCCGCAGAGAAAGGAAACCTCGACTGAGACCGTAACCACCGATCGCACGGGAGATAAGTTGAACCCGCTACACCGCACGTCTTACACCCCACCCGGAAGAAGAACAGACTTCCGGTCCGTCGTAATTTGCTCCTCCTGCCACCTCAAAACACTACATGTTCGTCCATACTACCACGACTTCCGGTTCCGATTAAACACACACTGCGGGGTCAGAATGGCGGGTTTCCTGCGACCAAAGGCCAAAATAGATGTAACTAAATTCTTAAACTGGGATATGCGGAAAATTATTTTTTTATAGACGGTTTGGAAAGAATCCTGCTTTTTACCACCACCATCACCATTCATTCCCCAAGTTGAAGCAGAATCGGGAGTCTTATATGGGTCGGTTCATTATTTGTCTCGTTTTGTGAGATGAAAAAGAAGTATCTGATACCGCTCAAACGAAAAAACGAGTCGTTTCTTCACTTCCCTGAATCAAATGCATTGGAGTAGAATGGAACAAACGGGAACATTTTCAAAGAAGGGCTACAAGGACGAGCAGCAGACAAGTCTTATGAAGAAAGATACATGACAGGGCTCTTCAAATACCTGGAAAGTTGTCTCAGAGAAGAAAGTCAAGAACTGTTCTTCACTGTTCCAAAGTGCAGGGCCGAGAACAATGGATTTATTGTGTGGAAAGGCAGATTTTGACTGATATTGGGAGAGGCTTCTTAACAGTAACAGCAGTTCGGTAGTGGAATCAATTGTCCAAAGAAATGTTGGCCTCCCCTTCACTAGATGGGTTCAAGCGGAGGCTGGGAAGGTAGTTGTCAGGGTGCTTTAGGTTGGATTCCTTCACTGGGCAGAAAATCAAGAGCCTGTAGCACCTTTTTCAACTAACAGATTTTATGAAAAGGCATAAGATTTTTGTGAGCTACAACTCATTTCATCAGATGCATAGAGTGGCTGGTCTGATGTAGGATTTAAACTGGGATGGGGGAGAGGGAGGGGAAGACAGGTTGATTATGCAGGTTCAGTTCACATGTGAGACAGATTACAAGTACATTATGAATTTACAGTTGCAATGTGTTAAAAACCCATTATGTTTGCTGAGGCCTTTTGAGATTGCTTGAAACTTTTTAATGTACTGTCAATTAATTGTCAACAATTTCTCACTCAGTGGTGGTGGAACCCAATGGTTGTCCTGTTCTATAAGTTGCTATAATTTTTATGCAGACATCAATCACATTAATGTTTTACACAGATCTGGAAAAGCCACCATCATATCACTGAATAAATGAGGATCTTACACTTGACATACAGTGGGGGAAAAAAGTATTTAGTCAGCCACCAATTGTGCAAGTTCTCCCACTTAAGAAGATGAGAGAGGCCTGTAATTTTCATCATAGGTATACCTCAACTATGAGAGACAAAATGGGGGGGAAAATCCAGAAAATCACATTGTCTGAT